TTCAGGTCTCACATTCCAGTCCTTTATGCATTTCAAGTTAATTTTTGTATATGGTGGAAGACAGTGGTCCAGTTTCCCCAACACCATTTATTGAAGAGACTGCCTTTTCCCACCCATTGTATACTCTTGCATCTTTTGTTGTAAATTAATTGGCCACACAGTATAGGTTTATTTCTGGGATCTCTGATCTGTTCCATTGATCTTTGTGTCTGTTTTTATACCAATACCATAGGCTACTGCATTCACTACAGTAGGTTTATTGTATGGCATAAAATCAGGAAGCATGATACCTTTGGCTTTGTTCTCTCTCACAATTGTTTTAGCTATTTGGGATCTTTCATGGTCCCATACAAATTTTAGATTTGTTCTGCATTTGTGATAAATTGAATTTTTGATAGGGATTGCATTTAATCTGCAGACTGCTTTGAGTAATGTAGACATTTTAATATTAATTCTTCCAATCCATGAGCACACAATATCCTTCCATTTATTTGTACCTTCAATTTCTTTCATTAACATCTTATAGTTTTCCGTGTACATGTCTTTCAACTCCTTGGTTAAATTTATTCCTAGGGATTTTATTTTTTATGATGCAATTATAAGTGTGATTAGTTTCCACCATTCTCTTTCTGATAGTTCATTATTGGTATACAAAAAAACAATAGATTTTCATATATTAATTTTGTGCCCTGCAACTTTACTAAATTAATTTATTCTAACAATTTTTTGGTGGAGTCTTTGGGAATTTTCTATATCTAGTATGTCATCTGCATATACTGATAGTTTTACTTTTTTCTTTCCAATTTGGAAGCTTTTTATTTCTTTTTCTTATCTCACTGCTATGGATGGAACTTTCAGTACCATATTGAATAAAAGGTAAGTGGGCATCCTTGTCTTGTTACTGTTTTCAACTCTTCACCTTTGATTATGATATTAGCTATCAGTTTGTCATAGATGGCCTTTATAATGTTGAGCTAAATTCTTTCCATACCCAATTTATTATTATTATAAATGGATGTTGAATTTTGTCAAGTTCTTTTTCTGCATCTACTGAGATGATATTATTTTTCTTACATTTTGTTACTATAGCAGATTATGCTGATCGATCTGCAAATGTTCAGCCATCCTTGCATTGTGAAATGAATCTAACCTGGTCATGGTGCATGAGCCTTTTAATGTACTGTTGAATTCAGTTAGCTAATATTTTGTTGAGAAATTTGAATCTATGTTCATTTGCATCTATGGCCTGTAATTTTCATTTTTTGTGGCATCCTTGTCTGGTTTTGGTATCAGGGTAATGTTGGCCTCATAAAATGAGTTTGGAAGTATTCCCTCTTCAATTTTTTGGAAGAGTTTGTGAAGGACAGGTATCACATCTTTGAATGCTGGGTAGAATTCATGAGCAAAGCCATCTGATCCTTGACTTTTGTTTTTCTGGGAGGTTTTTGATTACTCATTTATCTTACTAGTTATCAGTCTATTCAGATTATCTATTCATGATTCAGTCTCAGAAGACTCTAAGTTTTTAGGAATTTTTCATTTCTTCTAGGTTGTCCAATTTGTTGACATATAATTGTTTATAGTAGTCTCTTATGATCCTTTTAATTTCTGTGGTATCATTTGTAACTTCTTTCATTGATATTATTGAGTCCTCTGTCTTTTTTCCTTGGTGATTCTAACTAAAGTTCTGTCAATTTATCTTTTCAAAGAAACAGCTTTTAGTGTCACTGATCTTTCCAACAGTCTTTGTAGTATCTGTTTCATTTATTTCTACTCTGATCTTTGTTATTATTACCTTCCCTCTATTAACTTAGGGTTTTATTTGTTCTTTTTCTAGTTCTTTTACATATAAAGTTATATAATTTAGCTCAAGTTTTTCTTGTTTAGGTAGGTGTTTACTGCTATAATCTTCCCTCTTAGAAACACCTTTGCTGCATCCCATCGATTTTGATATGTCATATTTGTTTTTATTTGTCTCTAGGCATTTTTTATTTCTCCTGATTTCTTTGATGACCCATTGGTTGTTCAGTAGCATGTTGGTTCCTCCATATTTTTATGTCTCTTCTCATTTTCTTCTTGTAATTGATTTCTAGTTCCATACCACTGTGGTCAGAAAAGATGCCTGATATGATTTCTATCTCCTTGAACTTACTGAGACTTGTTTTGTGGTCTAACATGTGATTTACCTTAGAGAATGTTCCACGTTAACTTGAGAAGCAATGTGTATCCTATTGCTTTTGAATGAAATGTTGTGTATCTACTGAGTCAATCTGGTCTAATTTGGCATTTACGGCTGATGTCTTATTGATTTTTCTTTCTAGATGATCTGTACACTGATGAAAGCTGGTGTTAAATCCCCACTCTTATTGTATTGCTGTTGATTTCTCCCTTTAGTGCTGTTAATATTTGCTCTATATATTTTGGTGTTCCTTGTTGAGTGCTGAATGACCCTTTTGTCATTATATAATGATGCCTTTCTTTGTTTTTCCTACAATCTCTGTGTTAAAGTCTATTTGGTCTGAAATAAGCACACTACACCAGGTTTCTGTTTCAATTTACATGCAGTATCTTTTTCCACCTCTTCATTTTGTGTAAGTCCTTACTTGTGAAGTGAGTCTCTTGAAGGCAGTATAGAGATGAGTGTCATTTTTATCTATTCAGCCACTGTCTGTCTTTCAATTAGAGAATTTAGTCCATTTACAATTAAGATATTATTAATAGCACATATTTACTGCCATTTTGTTTGTTTTCTTCTGGCTGTTTTCATAGTTCTCCTGTTCTTGTCTTCTTTTTCTCCCCTCCCTGGTGTTTTGATAACTTCAATAGCATTGTGTTTAGATTCCTTCCTTATTTTCTTTAGTGTATTTGCTATAAGTTTTTCCTTTGTGGTTACTGGTGAGATTCACATAAAGTATTCTATGTATACAACAGTCTATTTTCATTAATAGCAACTTAAATTTGAATACATTCCAAAACTCTACATTATAACTCCTCCCTATTTTATATCTTTTCATCTTGTCTATCCTTTAATTATTGCAATCATAGATATTTTTACTCCTTTTGTCTCTTAACCTTCATTCTAGCTTTTATAAGTGACCAATTCACTTTTTAATAGCTATTTACCTTTTCCAGTGAGATTTTTACTCTCATATGTTTTCTTGTCATTAATTAATGGAATTTCTTTTCATCTTGACGAAGTCCCTTTAACATTTCTTGTAAGGCCAGGTTAGTGAAGATGAAGTCCCTCAGCTTTTGTTTTCTCTCTCCTATTCTGAATGATGCCCTTAATACAGTATTTCCTCTCAGCACTTTGAATATATCATGCTGCTCCCTTCTGGCTTACAAAGTTTCTGGTGAAAAACCTGCTGATAACCCTCTGGGGTTGGTTTCCTTTGTACATAAGTTGTTGTCCTCTGGTTGCTTTTAAGATTCTCTTTGACTTTTTTGACATTTTCATTATATCTTGGTGTGGCTCTCTTTGGGTTCAATCCCATTTGTAACTCTGAGCTTCCTGGACCTAGATGTGTGTCCTTTTCCAGGCTAGGGAAGTTTTCATCTACTATTTCTTCAAATAAATTTTCTGCCCTTTTCTCTCTCCTCTTCTGGGACTCCCATAATATGGATGTTACTCTACTTCAAGTTGTCCCACAGGTCCTTAAGACATCATCACTTTTTCAAATTCTTTTTCTTTTTGCTGCTCTGTGTAGGCGAGTTCCATTATTTTGTCTTCCAGCTCACTGATCCATTTTTCTGCTTCATCCAGTCTTTTATAGAACCCTTCTAGTGGATTTTTCAATTCAATTATTGTATTCTCCAGCTCTGTGACTTTTGTTTGATCTTTGTCAAATTTTCTATTGTTCTGTTGGAGTACTCACTATATTCATCCATTTGTCTCCCTAATTCAGTGAGGATTTTTACAACCATTACTTTGAACTCTTTATAAGGATTACACATTTGTTTCATTAAAGCTTGTTCTTTCATTTGGAATATTTTCTCTGTCTCCTCATTTTCCCTGATTCTCTGTTTTGTTTCTATGTATTAAGTGAAACACTTTCTCTCTCAGCAAAGGAATGGCCTCATGTAGCAGATGACCCTTTGGGCCCAGAGACACAATCCCCCAACACCAGAGCCAGGTGCCCCAGAGGTGTCACCTGTGTGGGCTGTACATGCCAACCAGCTGTGGTATACCCAGGGCTGCTGCATGAAGGTGGTGGGGTACTCACCTGGCTGTGGTGTGGCTATAGCCTGGGAGAGGGGGTATGGCATTCACCAACTGACAGGTGCAGTTGTGATGTGGTGGTAGCAGGAATGGAAGGAAGGAATGTCCACCTATATTAGCAAGTTAGTGCTAGATTGCCACAATGGCACCTGTTAACACCAGCTTTAGCAAGGTAGAATAAGATCACAGAAATGGCAACTGCCAACATGTCCATCCCAGGAAGACTTACAAGAAGTTCCTGCCTCTCAGTCAATCACCTTAAGATTAGGTCCCTATCATACACTGTTTAGGTGCTTCTCAAACTGCTGCTTTTGCACTGGTTCTTGGGGCATGTGTCTGCATGCAAGCCCTTTAAAGGTTAGGTTCTCTGTTCCCTACAGTTCTATGGTTCTCCTGAATATAATCTCTGTTGGTTATACATCTTGGGGGCTCACCTCTCTGATACTGGACCCAATGGTTGGAGTGCCACTTGTGGGATACAAATCCCTCTCTACTCAGGGAAAAGTTCTGTATTTTTGAGATCTCTTTCTAGGGTGGGGAGGGGACCATACCTGGGGTGTGGTTTTTGGAAAGAGCATGTCTTTGCTTCTCTACCCACCTTGATGTAGCCCTTTTATTTTTTATTGTGGAAGTGCCATTAATCTAGTTTTCAGGACTTTTTCAGATGAAATTATTCCACTTGTAGCTGTAGATCTGCTATATCCATGCGAGGTGAGTTTAGGATCTTCCTATGCTGTCATCTTGAACCACCTTCTTCTCTAGAAACCTAATTTTTAATTACCTTTTTGTGAATGGACAGCGAATCAACATTCGTGACTATGATATCCTTAAGTCTTGCAAACATGTCAGTCTGCTTTGGCTTCACAGAAACAGAGGCATCCATTCCTATGAGAAGCATAACATTTACAAACTTTTCACTCAATCTGAATGAACAAATTCAGTGGTATCTAAGTTCAGTAACATACTACGAAGATGTAGAATCAATAAAACTTATTCACTACAGACATATTAAAGGTATCAACTTCTAAGAATGATTACAGTAATATCCTTAAGTGCTACAGGCACCTTTCACATAAAAGTTGTGAAAATTTTAAAACAAAAGAAACCAAATTTCAAAGAAAATTAACCACAGGTCTCCAAATACAAATATCCTGTGTATTGGCAAGATAAGAAGTTGTCATTTAGGAAAACACATAATATTTGAGTTTATCTGCAATAAACTCTATCAAAAATGTTCTAAGATTTCTCTCCAAAAAAATGTCATTCTGATAATTTCTGAAAGCATGGTGATTTCTAAAACTGCTCTCCTGTAGAGAAAGAATGCCTGCAGTTAAGACCCAATAATGAACAACCCAAATCATTACCATGACACCCATGAAATAGATACTTGGTAATATTTGTTGAATGAAACTGATTTTAAACCTTTTTTTAGCTGCTTACTATATACCAGGCACTTTCTTAAATATATGTACATATGTAAACTTGATTCTCACAGCAATCCCAAGAATAATAACTACATCCACTTTACAGAAGAAGGAACTAAGACACAGAAAGGTTAGTTAATTTATTCAAGGTCAGCCAGTAAGTGGCAGAGCAAAAATCTGAACCTTGCCAGGCTGGCTTCTAGAATCCAAGGTATAATCTAAACTTATCCTTTTATCAAGCTAATGATGGGAAAAGCTTACAAAATTTCTTTCAGAAACTTCTTACCTGATGCAATATATGAGTGCACACACACACACACACACACAAAAAAAAAAAACCCAAGGGAAATAAGGATAATGGTATTTTCTTTACTCACTAAGATATTATTCTGAAAATGCAAATAGAACATAACAGATTAAACTTTAGACTTATTCTGAAATTGTTCAAATACGTAAGGAATGTCTCATGTTAGCTATAAATTATAACAGATTTACTTCTAACATTTCAGAGTACATGTCTGAAAAGTTTGCTCAAATCTTTAAGTAAACAAAAGATGGCTCATAAGAAATCAACCATGCACAAGCTCATTCTTCCTGGAGATCTATGCAAAGAAACAGAAATATCTATATCAAGGAGTACTTACTTACCAAGTATTCTAATATCTGCAGTATTACACTTCTGATCACAGACAAAGACATTAAGTGCATTTAATTCAGCTGTGACTTTTAAATCAAACATGTCATCTTCAGAAGTATTGCTGGATACTGAAAAATAATACAAACCTTGCAATTAGCAAAGTACAAAGACGATATTCAAAATAACCTTAAATTCACTAAAATAAAAGTACATTATGAATCTTGAAAAACCAAAAAGTCCTCCATTAAGAATACATATAATTAATGTGGATTCTGAATCAATTTTCAGATGCAAATCAGACAAAAACTAGCATCCTCCCCTCCAAATTAAAAATAAAGGCAAGTCAACTTGTTAGATGGAAACTCTACTCTAATTTTTCTTCTAAGAAAAAAGAAAATCCTCCATATAGGAATTCTAGAATTCTACTGGTTCCAAATTTATACACATGTTATTAACCATAGAATCAATTTCTCAAGATTGTATCCTGTTTTTCCATGAAGAATACTAAAATAAATTCTATGAGAAATATGAAAGGCTAAATTAAAAAAAAATACAAAATAATTATAGTTATAGTATGTATGCATGTATATAAGAATCACAATCAGATGGATACTCTTAATCTACCTTAGTTCAGATCCTGACCATTAAATTTAGGATTTCCTAGAGATATATCTTGCCTGAAGAAAACAGACCTTTTCCTATAAAACTGTAAATGAATAAGGACATCAGTCTTCAATTACCAAGATAACAGTGATATTTTTCTTTTAAGATTTAAAGTGGCATAGTCAAACCATAAAAACCAACTATATGGCATAACTGGAAGACTATTTCTTTGGGGTAATATTTTTTAGTCTATTGTGGGCTTAAACATTGCTTTTTCATTTATTCAACTCTGTAGGTATGTATGCATTCATATGTTTCCACAGATACTAATGTAATAAGTACATTAAAAACAAGGTAAAACTCTTTTATTCTAGTTTGTAACAAAAGTTGCTCTGCTCCCTGGTTAAAAAAAAATCTGATCCTTGTATCAGATCTGATAACAATTAACAGGTTTACACTTTAAAGATGCCACTAATATAGATATAACTCAAAGAGATAATGGTTTGAAAATTCCTAGCTATTAGATATTCATATCATATGATATGAAAGAAAAATAATTAAAATCACATATTTGGCTTAAAAACAGTTCACTCAAGATACATCATATATAATGTCTCACAGCACAACTAATATCTTCAAGGAACATGTACCCATATCTGTATGTAATTTAAATTCAGTTTTGATTAGAAACCAAAGAGAATTGGTCTCTTCCATGAGATTCTCCTGCAAATCATTTAAAATTGCTAAGCACCAAGTAGGTTTATCTGACTGACTGAAATGGGCCTTTGTTACTATGCCTGATTGTATTCATATTTTAATTCATGTGTCCTTTCTCACTTTTATTGGAAGGAAGGATGCAGAGGCAGCAATGCAAAGTATATACAGCTTTATTTTATGTGAAAGACAGTGAAATCAACTATAAATACAAGATTAACAGTAAAATTATTTAAATAAAGAAGAATCATTTAAATCCTTCACTAAATTACCCTATAAATACCATAGGGATAAAATTTGTTTTCTCTTGAAACTAACCTAATCTGTCAGAGCAGCTATAACAGTAAGGAGCTAAATACATAGCTTAAAAAAATATAAGTTATGATAAGGTTATTAAAGTTCAAGCAGAAATTATTAGACCATAGCTCAAAGGTTAATACCAGCTTTGATAATGATACTTCTGGACTCCCCCACAAGTGGTTTCAGCTCAGATTCCTTTTCAGAAGAGGAAGGTTCAGAGGATGGGATGGCAGATGATAAAAAATCCATGAAGGACAGTAAAGCTTCCAAATGAAGTACTAAGTCTAAGGATGAAAATGAAACCTAAGATAATGAACAATTAGAGAGGCAGATTTCAGATATGGTAACATATTTATGTTAAGCTTCAACATCTACAAGTAGCATAAGAATAGTGACATTAAGGTCCTTTTCTAAGAAATAACTCACACTTACAACATTAATCCTTACCAGATAACAAATGAACACTCTGCCCCACTCCCAAGCCCAACGAATTCTAAGCTCAACAGAACTTGATGGGTTTTAAGTAAAGATACAGGAAGTATTACCAGACTTTGGGTCAATCATATTTCAGATGGTTCCAAGACAGACTATATACACTCAAATGGACTGTGAGCAATGTCTGTACTGAGCCATGCTTTCAGCTTTGTCCTCAATTTTATTCTAATCCTAATTCCAATATGTAATTCAAATGTTTAATGCTTATATCAACACAAGGCCAAATAACCAGAGTGAACAAAATTCCCTCAAAAAGTGTGAATTCAACAAGTAATCATTAATTCATATCTGGGAAACAATCTTCTAGGAAATCAAATCAACTTTTGTAGAAATTTTCATCACAACTCTATATCCATTTCTTTTATGTACAAGATTAGCTCTATCATTACTGCCACCTTTATTCCAATTTTAGAATCTACAATTTTACAAGTGAAGATGCCTATGAAGCCAGATTTATTAACTTAACTTAGTCTAAGACAGAATTAGAAAAGATTTACCTTCAGTCTCTGTTTGGTATTTTCATGAATTGTTCTAAATTCTGGTCCATCACTGTCTGCCTACAAATAGTGGAAGATTAAACCACTGGATTGCAAACAATAAACATTCACATTGAAAAAATATATTTTCTTTGCTTTTCAAAGCATGCTATGAAAACACTATAAATGCATTTCTTAAAGGCAAAGAAGAACATGCCAAAAAAATTGACCACATAAGTATTTCTCACATTCTATAGAAGCAAAAGTCCAATTCCTTATCCTACTTAGATGGAAATGTTATAGGTAGGGGGAAAAAATCTAGTGTATCTAGTTTACAACAAACTTTGCTTGGGATTACAATGTAACTTTGTATATTTCTCCTTATTCAACAACATAGCCAGCTCACAGGTTATTGAAATTATCCAGGACTGTCAGATGCTTGCATAATTTACTACCATCAGTTGGCTTTAGAATGAAAAATTTTAGGAGAGAAAAATTAGATATTAAATATGAGCAAGAATTATATAACTGCATATATTCAAATATTAAAGAATCCTAGAGATGAAGCTAGGTACCTTTGTCAATAACATTTTCAGAAGGGGTTCATCAGTTGTATTAGAGGAGTTAATAATGTGAAGAGGTTCTCCTTTAGAGTCTAAAAGAGAAAGAGACAGGGTAGTTCCAATAAGTCTTTTAAACATTTCAAACATATTTTAAAACAGACCAACCAATTATACAAATGCATTTGTTAAAACTCATAGAACTGTATACAAAAAAGGGTGAATTTTACTGTATATTAATCATACCTCAATAAAACTGGCTTTGGAAAAAAAATTTCTTTAAAATGAAAAAACCAGGAGCAGCCCGTTACAACTGTTTAACATTGGGTACTACTGGTATGCCTCACCTGCGCAAATCAGAATATATTAAAGAACAACTTATAAAATACATACATTAGGTATTACTCTCAATACAAGTATGCTTTACCTAAAGTTATACCACAGCATTCCTGAAACTTTAAACACCCATAGCAACTTTAAAAGTTGGCTTGATACAATTTAGAAAGTGAATTTGGTAATTCAGGTCCAAGAAAATCACTAAACAATAACTTAGTAATCATTTGAAGGTAAGAGAATGAGACTATGTAAAATAATGGTGTTATATTTTTCCTCTATATATTGCTGTATGGTTTAATTTTTATTTTTCAAAAGTATATATTAAATGTCATTAAAAACAAATAAAGAATGGTGGTGCAGTTAAAAAATAAATTAAAAACAAAAAGCTATTTCCTAGTAAATTAACTCAACTTTTCAAAAAGGGTCCACAGGCTCTATACCTGAGTATTATACTTGGGTTCTGATTTCCTAATACAGTGCTCAAAATATAGCTATAATGAAATATTGCCTTTTACAAGTACTAAAGATGTATAGACACTGAAAAAGTATGCTTCATTTTTCTTCTAGACATAGTCTACTTCATGCTAAATATACGTATATATCTAGATATGCTTAATGATAAATAACTACATAGTTAATAAAATTTTAAGTATAAAATTCCTTTGTTTTCAATGCAATAAATTTAATCTAAGTAACTGGTGACACTAAAAAATATGCTTAACTGTTGACAAAAACTATAGGGACCGTCTGACTATTATATGGATAGTTTACACAGGCTATATTTCACACTTACCAGTGAACTCAAAGCATCGCATACTAATTTTTTTTAGATAAGCTTTAGCAGTCAGGTCATATGTTTTTGCTCTAGCTTCCATTCCAAGCTTTAGGACATTTAGTTCATGTAAAGGCCTTCCTTTCTTTTCTGCTTTTTTCATCAAAGTAATCACAACCTAGAAAAAGGTACCAGTATTACTACAAACTATTTCACTAATATACCATGAAGATAAGTAAATATTTTAATAACCATCTAGAGTGATATAACCAAAAAATCCACACAATGTAAAGATTTTTACTTCTAGTTGTACCTGGAAACTGCCTAGTGTTACTTACTTTGAAAGGCACATTTACTTGTTCAGACTTCCAAAGCATTTCCACTACATTCAAGTGGTTTTCAAGGCAAAGTTAAAAAGAAAAAAACGTAGTTCTGCCTAATTCCCAGAAGTCCTAGTCTGATAGATGGCCTTTCATCTGAAAGTCTGCGAAATAAATGGCCAATCTGTATACTACTCCTAAGGCAAGATTTCTCAACCTAGGCATCACTGCCATTTCGGGCTGAATAATTCTTTGCAAGGAGGAGCAGTCCTGTGCACTGCAAGATGTTCAGTGGCATCACTGGCCTCTACCCCCTTGCCAGTAGCGCCCTCTTCCCCAGATAGTAACAACCAAAAATGTCTCAGGCAAATACCAAATACTGGCCTGAGGGGAGATACAAATTACTGTATCCTACCCCAATCACTGACCTGAAGGAACAAAACTGTAATAATATGTTACAAATGGTATTAAAAAGGACTTAGGCGTTTTCTATGTACATATGTTAATGAAGTCCATTTGCAAATAAAATGATTCATCTATCAATGTTTCACTTATTAAAGCTTAAAGATCTTCAATATCTCTAATATTAACCAGAAAATCAATAGAGATTTAACAGGCAAGAACATAGTTCAAAGCATGTATTTCAGATAAAAAAAAGTAGAACTCATTTGTAAAGTAAAAGCTTATAAATCTGAAGCTCAGATAAAGAAAATAACCTCTATCCAACTATTTAACGACGAAGGGATTTTGGAGGAAGTTCTTGCAAGACCCTGTATCCACTATATTTTCTCACACAGTCATATCTTTATGCTTGTTCCTCTTTCTACCCTGCCTCAGTGCCCCTTTCATGATCTCCTTTTCTCAGACCATTCCCTGACCCTCTCAGACTGCCTCCTTCGTACCACCAGGGCCACAAGATCCCTGGCCACATTTTTAATGGGAGCACTTACAAAAACTTTAATTGTTTTCATGACTGAGTTCAGAGTTGTGTCCTTAGTCAGGACCTCTATGTCCTTAGCACTTAGCACATGCAATGAACATGTGTTCAATGTGTAAATACAGAAGAGGAAAATCTATTTAACCTTTCCTCAAGAATCTGCAGACAGAGAGCAGACAGTCATAATATAACATATAGAAAATGTAGACATACTGTGTTTTATCCTATTAAGCATTTCTAAAGTTTGCAAAGGATTTTCCTGTCACTATTTCCCTATCCTAACTTTCCTATATGAAATCCAAAGTAAGCCACTTTCCAACTGTCCTTAAATCATTTGAAAAGCATGTTACAAGACATGATAACTATTTTCACTACAAAATATATCTCCCAGTATAAGTCCTCTTTAAAAAATTCTCCAACTTTAAAACATTATTGCTATGTACAAATTATAAAAATGTAAGATTTTTCTCATCCATATCAATAATCTACAAGCTTATTTTAGTAGAGGTAATTTTAAATATCCAATTTTCACCTCACTTACAAAAGCAGATGAAAATTACATACCTCTTTGATTTCAAAATTCAGTAGCATGTTAATGATGTCTACAGATCTAATTTCTTCCCCTCCAGCTGTTAAAGTACCTTGTGAGCCAGGTACATCTTGTTGTGATGTAGATATTTCAAGAGGTTCTTTAACTTCATCTAAAGAATGAAATACATTCAGTTCTATTCACACATTTCTTCCACAAATATTCACTGAGGGCTTATATGAGTACTCTGGTGCAGGCACTGAAAATTCACAAATTAGTACTACACAGCTCCAGCCCTTAGAAGACTCATGTTTTAGTAGAAGACACATATACGTATAAAATACAAACAAAAGCAGGCTATATATTAAGTGGACAAATGTTAATAAACTTTATATAAAGAGCTCAGAAAGCACATAACTACTCATGACATTGTTATGGGTGGTCACTTAATAGGGGAGGTACCACTGAAGTAAGGCTGAAGAACCCCCTCCTAAAATGAGACATTCTAAGGTAAGCAGCTGTGGAAAACCAAACAAATGACACATCATGATAGGTTCTGTAAACAGAATGGAGCTTGATATAATTAAATCATGAGGAGGGTAATAAGAGTTAAGGCTAGAAAAGAAAAAAGGGCGGGGGGGGTAGCTTCTTATACATACCAAAAAAACAAAAGTAAAGCTATATATGATGTTGTCTTCCCAAATTGACACACCTAACAATGCAATAAAATTGCTTTCTAAACTGTAATAAATATCACTAGCTACATGCTTACCTCTATGGTACATACTGTGCTGAAGACTGTACATGTATTGTCTCATTTAATTCTTATAACAGCCCTTTGAGATAAAATTGTGATTGTCCTCATTTCACAGACACAAGCAAACTGAGGTTCAGATAGTCAGTACTTTGACCAATGTCACTAAGATGGCAAATAGTGGAGCCCAAACTCATCAGTCTGACTTTAGAGCCTTCACTCTCAACAAACCCTCAGTATTATTACATTAGTTATTAATATTATTGCAGTTAACATTATCTATGAGCACAACACAGAGGAACATAAACCATACCAGAAACCCATATGGAAAACCACTGCTGTCAACTATTACCTCTGAGAAAACAACACACAGGGCAAGGTTTCTCAACTATCACTGCATTCCAACACTGTTCCAAACATACCATTTTTCACTTAGCAAACTAGCAAAAATTTTTAAATAATATGCCTTATTAGAAAAGATACAGAGAAACAACCTGGTAAAAGGGCAAAATTAATACAAGTTCTATTAGTACAAGTTCAACTGCAGGGCAATTGGCAAGATCTTTCAAAATGCTAATTTAATAAAATTAAAAACTCTTTAACCTAGTAGCCCTGGTATTTCCCCTACAGATATATATGCACTTGTAAAGTCTGTGTATAAGGATAGTAAGTGCAACATAGTAAGAGTGAATAACTGAAAACAACCTAAAATGTCCATCTATAAGGACTTGCTAAATAAATTATGATACTTGAAGAGAATTTAATACCAGGCAGCCATTAAAAAGAATGAGGCATATCTATACATGGTACATATATGCATGAATAGATACAGATATGTAACAAACACCAAGATAAACTGTTAACTTAAAAAACGCAAAGTGCAGAAATACATGCACGCACACATGCTCAAATATACATATAGAATGGTACTATTTGAAAAAATAAAGATTATACAGATCTGTGTGTTTCTACACATCCATACAGAACAGCTTCAAAATATAAGTCTAGTACTTTGCCTTTAAGTCAAAAGGCACCATTATACCTAATAATTTAAATTCTCTTTGGATTTTTATTGCAATACAATTTTTTAATACTTGAGTGGTGATTTATTAAATGTTTTAATTATTACAGATATTTTACTACTAAATCTTATTTATAAATCAGATCAAGTATTTATCATAGCTTAGCTTCATCTTTAAATATTTTTCTTATACATGCAAATTCAGTAATTATTTCAGGAATTCACCACTGATTTGAAAACCTTCTTTATGGCTTTCTTCTAACTTAAACAGTTTAGAAAAAATTCTGATCCTATAACTGACTTTTTGCTTAACTAAAAAATGTTAGTCACCTCAAATTAGGGTTTTCTTCAATAGTTCCTTCAACAAATATTTATTTTTTGGTAATACACATCACAATTTATATATTTGTTAACTTCATTTTTATTGTCTATCTCCCCTACTAAACTGGAAAATCAATAGACATATGTAGTATACCACCTACTCAGTCTCTTACCTGTCCTTTGTATTCTTGGTTTCACTTTATTCAAGTCTTCAGTAGTCTCACCAATATTTTCTGCTAGTATTCTAAATAAAAGATTAAGATCTTCTTGATTTAGACTAACCTAAGAAATATTATGTTAAAAGAAAAGATAAAGACATTTCATTTTAAAATGAAACAATTTTAATACAGAAAAATGATTTCCTAGTAACAAAACAGGATGTCCTAGCAACAACCCCTGGTGATACACTGTAGGGAGGAATCCCCCCACACGGGTGTTTCTCCCAGAGGAATGAGGGGTTGGTGTCTCCCATGGGCACCACAGCCCCTGGGATGTGTAGCGAGAAATGAGTCCCTAAAACACCTGGCTTGGAAACCAATTGGGCTAACACCCAGGGGTCCCAAAGTGCAATAGAAAACTGAGATCCCCCCTCAGAGAGCTTGCATATGGTCTCGCTCACCCTGACCCATTGAAAAAAACACCAGCCTGAAAATCACCTAGACTACATGGAGGGAAACCCATTTGCTGATCTTGAGGGCACTGGACACAGAGGGGCGGGGGACAGGTGAGATGCTTCCAGGAGACAAAGGCACTGGTGGATGCCTCAGGTGCACTCTCTACACAGCCTGCTACCACAGACATTTGAATTCAGATGTGGCACCCTCCTACCACCTCGCTAGGGCAGGCAAGGGTGAGTAGTCAGGCATCTGCTGAAGCCAGAGAGCATGGGCAGCTGCAGAGCCTCCTGAATCTTGGCTGGGGTGGATGAGCCTGAGCAATTAGCATTCTCCCACTCCAAGCCTAAAGCAGGTGTGTGTACACAGACAAGACACTCTCCTGGTATGTTGCTGAAGCCCAGGGTGTTTACAGTCAAGACATTTCCCTGCTGCTTTTCTGAAGCTGACAAGCATGCCCTGCGCTCAATACTCTCCAGCTGCCTTACTAAAGGGAGGAAGGGTGTGTACAACCCACACAGGGGACAGCCCTGGTGTCCAAGATGGCTGGTGTTGCAGAGCACCACAGGACTTTAACAATCAGAGATATCCACCCCACCCAGGGCACTCCACAGAAAGCAGACTGAAGCACAATCCCAGTCTTCCTGTGAAAGGGCCTATTTACTCAGTCTGGAAAATTATCCTGAGAGACAGACTTCAGGGTTCCCACACACCTAGAGGCTGAAGAGGCCTTCCCATGGAACATTCCCAGAAAGCTTACACTCATCAGCAGCCCCAATTTTTTCAATTGTCGCTCAGGGCACTCCTCCAGATCTCCTGGTCTCAGCAGACTATATACTGTGCATGCTTTAAAAGATGCTGTGAGGAAACTAGGTGCTAAATGATATTCTTCCCCTTAGATCACTGAAAGGTCATGGCAAACCCTCAATAATAGAAGCAAATCAAAAATAAGTGAGGCAGACATATCTGACAACAGGTTAATACCCAAAATATATAAAGAACTCACGTGTCTCACCACCCAAAAAGCAAATAACCCTATTAAAAAATGAGAGGAGGATATGAACAGACACTTCTCCAAAGAAGAAATTCAGATGGCCAACAGGCACATGAAAAGATGCTCCACATTGCTAGTTATCAGGGAAATGCAAATTAAAACCACAGTGAGATATCACTTCACATCAGTTAGGATGGCCAACACAGAAAAGACTAGGAACAACAAATGCTGGTGAGGATGCAGAGAAAGGGGAACCCTCCTACACTGCTGGTGGGAATGTAAGCTAGTTCAACCATTGTGGAAACAATATGGAGGTCCCTCAAAAAACTAAAAATAGAAATAACATTTGATCCAGGAATTCCACTTCTAGGAATTTACCCTAAAAATGCAGCCCAGTTTCAAAAAGACATATGCACCCCTATGTTTATTGCAGCATTATTTACAATAGCCAAGAAATGGAAGCAACGTAAGTGTCCATCAGTAGATGAATGGATAAAGAAGATGTGGCACATATACACAATGGAATATTATTCAGCCATAAGAAGAAAAGAAATCCTGCCATTTGCAACAACATGAAAGGAGCTAGAGGGTATTATGCTCAGTGAAATAAGTCTGGAGAAAGACAAGCACCAAATGATTTCACTCATCTGTGGGGTATAAGAACAAAGGAAAACTGAAGGAACAAAACAGCAGTAGAATCACAGAACCCAAGAATGGACTAACAGTTACCAAAGGGAAAGGGACTGGAGAGGATGGGTGGGAAGGGAGGGAGAAGGGGAATAAAAGGCATTACGATTAGCACACATAACATAGGGGGGGGCATGGGAAAGGCAGTATAGCACAGAGAAGACAAGTAGTGACTCTATAGCATCTTACTATGATGGACAGTGAATGTCATGTGGTATGTGGTAGGGACTTGATAATGGGGGGAATCTAGTAACCACAATGGTGCTTGTGTGATTTTATATTAATGGTACCAAAATAAATAAATAAATAAATCAGGCAGTTTAGACAATCACAAAGGTTCAAGAGACAACCAAGAGCTACAGCAAAGGATCCTTGAAAAAGGATCATCACTTAAACTAGAAAACTCCATCAAGACTGAGGGGTGGCTGTTTAGTCTAATACATATCAACAAACACAGAGAGTCAAGCAAAATGAGGAAAGATAAATATTTTCCAAACTAAAGAATAGGACAAAACCTTAGAAAAACAAATATTTTCTCTAATAAAGAATTCAAAGGAAGTGTCAGTCACAAAGATGCTCACTTGGGGGAAGAATGGATAAACACAGTGAGAACTTCAACAAAGAGATACAAAACATAAGAAAATGCCAAGCAGAAATCACAGAGCTAAAAATAAAATACTTCAACTGAAAAATACACTAGAGGGGAATCAAGGGCAGACTGGATAAAGCAGGAGAACAGATCAGTGAGCAAGAAGATGAAGTAATGGAATACACTCACACAGGGCAACAGAGAGGGAAAAAATAATTTTTAAAAATCAAGATAATTTAAGGGACCAATGGAAACAAGATCAAATGGAGTAACATTAGCATTTATAGGAGTCCTAGAAGGAGACAAGAGAAAGGGGCAGAAAATTTATATGAAGAAATAATGGCTGAACACTTCCCTAAACTAGGTAAGGAAACAGACAACCATCCAGGTTCAGGAAGCTCAGAGAGATCCAAATAAGGGAACCCAAAGAGAGCCACATGAAAACACATTGTAATTAAAATAGCAAAAGTTAAAGACAGACTCTGAAAAGCATCAAGAGGTAAACAACTTGCTGTGTATAAGGGAAACCCCATAAGCAGATTTCTCAGCAGAAACTTTGTAAGACAGAATTGAGTGGTATGATATATTCAAAATACTGAAAGGCAAAAAACATCCAACCAAGAATACTCAACCCAACAAGGTTATGACTCACAGCAAAAGGAGAGAGAGTTTTCCAGACAAACAAGAGCTATGGCATTCATCACCACTAAACCAACCTTAGAAGAAATATAAAAGGGGCTTATTTAATCTGAAAAGAAATGGCACTTATTAGTAATAGGAAAATATATGAAAGTAAGCATCTCACTGGAAAAGGTAAATATATAGTAAAGGTAGTAGACTAATCACTTATAAAAGCTGGTATGAAGGTAAGAGACAAAAGAAGTAAAATTAACTCAAATTGCAATAGTACTTAAGGGATACATAAAGCAAAAGCTGTAAAAAGTGACATTAAAAACACAAATCATGGTAGGGGGAGGTAGAATTTTGGAATGTGTTCAAATTTATTTTTCAATCAACTTAAATTATACTGCTAAATACACAGGATGAGATATGTGACCCTAACAGTAACCACAGAGCAAAAACTTATAGTAAATACACAAAAGAAAGTAAGAAAGGAATCTAAACATAATACTAAAGGCAGTTATCAAACTATAAGAGGAGAAAGGAACAGAGAAAAACTACAAAAACAGCCAGAAAACAATTATCAAAATGGCCCTAAGTATAAACCTATCAATATCTTCTTTGAATGGAAATGGACTAAATTCCCCAATCAAAAGACACAGAGTGGCTGAATATATTTTTTAAAAATCATATGAATGATAGGAAACTAGAAGGCAATTACAAGAAGAGAACTGGAAAAACTAAATGTATATTAAACAACATGCTACTGAACAATTACTGGGTCATCAAAAAAATAAAAGGAGAAATCAGAAAATACCTGGACACCATGAAAACAGAAATAGGGCACAACAAAAGTCAATGAGACACAGCAAAAGCAGTTGTAAGAGGGAAGTTCACAGCAATACAGGCCTGTTAAAAGAAACAAGAGAAATATGAATCGAAAGACCTAAGTTTATACCTAAAGGAACTAGAAATAAAACCCAAAGATAGAAGGAAAGAAATAATAAAGATCAGAGAAGAAATAAGTGAAACAGAAACTAACAATAGAAAAGATCAATGAAACTAAAAGCTGGTTCTTTGAAAATATAAAGAAACTAATAAGCCTCTACCAGATTCATCAAGAAAAATAAAGAACCCAAATAAATAAAGAAAGAAATGAAAGAGAAGTTACAACTTACACCACAGAAATACAAAGGTTCATAAGAGACTAGTAGGCACAATTATATACCAACAAATTGGACCATCTAAAAAAAAGAAATGAATAATTCCTAGAAATACACAACCTTCCAAGAATGAATCATGGTAAGATAGAAAAATCTGAATAGACCAATTATAAGTACTAAAATAAATCAGTAATTTAACTAATTTTTAGTAAAATTAACTCAAAATGGATTAAAGACTTGAGTAGAAGAACTGAAACCATAAAAAGCCTAGAAAAAACATAGGTGACAAGTTCCAAAGGCAAGAGCAACAAAAGTAAAAATTTGTAAATGGGACTACATCAAATTAAAAAGTTTCTGCACAGTGAAGCTAACCATTCAAGAAAATGAAAAGGGCAACCTAGTGAATGGGAGAAGATATCTGCAAATAATATAACCAATAAACAGTTAATATCCAAAATATATGAAGAACTCATACAACTCAGTAACAAAAAAATAAGCAACACAACTATAAAACAAGCAGAGGATCTGAATAGACATTTTTCCAAAGACATACAGATGGCCAACAGGCACATGGAAAATGCTCAGCGTCACTAAAACATCAGGGAAATGCAAATCAAAACCACAATGAGATATGACTTCACACCTGTCACAATGGGTTCTCCTGTACACAGTTGGTGGAAATGTAAACTGGTACAGCCACTATGGGAAACAGAATGGAGGTTCTTCAAGAATTTAAAATAGAGATACCATATGAACCAGCAATTCCACTACTGGTCATCTATCTGAGAAAACGGAAACACAAATTTGAAAAGATATATGCACTCCTACATTTGTTGCAGCATTGTTTACAATAACGAAGATATGGAATCAAGCTAAATGCCTACTGATGGATGAATGGATAAAAAGATGCAGTATGAAATGGAATATTACTCAGCCATAAAAAAGAACTGAAATCTTGTCATTTGTGACAAAATAAACAAAACTTGAGGGAATTATGCTAAGTGAAATAACTCAAGAAAGAGAAAGTGAAACCACATGATTTCACTTAATGTGGAACCTAAAAAAACAAAACAAAATAACCAAACAAAACTCAAACTCACAGATATAGAGAACAGATTGTTGGTTGCCCAAGGGGAATGGAGATGGGGAGAATGAAAAGGGTGAAGGGGATTAAGTATAAACTTCCAGTTATAATTCTGGGGATGTAAAGCACAGCATGGGGAATATGGTTAATAATACTGTATTATAATTTTGTAAGGTGACAGATGATAACTAGACTTATTGCAGTGGCGATGTTACAGTGTACACAAATGTTGAATCATTATGTTATACACCTGAAACTAATATAATATTGTATGTCAATTATACCTCAATAAAAAATGAATAAAAATAAAACTAACATTTACCTGAAGATTAAATGCTACTAAAAAATAGTAAAAACATCTCAGTGAAATTTTTCTCACACCAATCAATAAAAAACTCTACATTCCCTATGGATTTGTACTGGGAAAGTTCAGAGTCTAAAATTTCAATAACAAGCTTTTTTCACTCATACTTACATTCATTGACTCAAGATGTCCTTTAATTTCCAAAACAGGTACCCTGTGATACCAAGATGCAGCTAGATTCCGATTTACAGAAAGCTCCAGATTAACTGGGTACAACAGCTGAATATCAGGATGGGAGATGCCTGGCTGGATCACTGTCCTAATGAAAAATATAACTGAAGATAAATGCACAAATATAGGGGGAATACAACATAACATTACAAAACACAAACTCAAAAATTCCTACGCTAAACATTGATTTGAAACAGCATCGTTTGAGTGTTTTCTAATCTCAATCTCTAATTAATCTATATTATACTTTAGAAATAGATTAAAATAAATGAAATTACATCATAGCAATTAAGAAAATTGTTTTTCTTTAAAAGTAGATGGTCACAAATTAAATTTTAAAAAGAAATTCATATTGTTGAAGATATCAGAAAAATCATAAAATATAGTCTTCAAGGACTGATATGTACATTGACACAGATTTAAGAAAAAAATAATAATGGTTAACATCTTCTAAGGAGTTTCATAGGGTTTTTCTCTAGGATTATATTTTTCAGACTTTTCTTATAATCTTTCCTTTTTTATTGAGGACAATTATATCTTCTTAGATGGGGAAGAAATGGTATTAAAATGAAATACATATGACCCAGTAATTCCACTTCGGAGAATTTACATGAAGAAAACAAAATCACTAATCCAAGAAGATACATGTACACCTGTTTATCTCAGCATTATTCACAACAGCCAAAATACGGAAGCAACCTAAGTGTCCACTGATAGATGAATGGATAATGATGTGGTACATACATACATACAGTGAAATATTAGCCGTCAAAATAAAATGAAATCTTGCCATTTCACAGATGGACCTAGAGAGCATTACACTAAGTGAAATAAATCAAAGACAAATACCATATAATTTCACTTATACGTAGAATAAAACAACAACAACACAGAAATAGACTCATAAACAGAGCAGATTGGTGGTTGACAAAAGGAAGGGGTTGGGAAGATGGGTGAAAAGGGTGAAAATAGAATGTCTGAAATCTTGATTTGGGTTATGGTTACATGAGTGTATACACAGGTCAAAATTCATTGAGCTATAAACTAAGACTTGTGCATTTTATTTTATGTACCTCAAAAAAATTAAAACTTGGGGGTGGAGCCAAGATGGCAGTGTGAGTAGGGCAGCAGAAATATGCTCCCAAAACCACATATATTTTTGAAAATACAACAAATGCAACTATTCTTAAAAGAGAGACCAGAAGACTCAGAACAACAGCCAGGCTACATCTACATCTGCGAGTGAGAACCCAGCACCTCATGAAGGGGGTAAGATACAAGCCATGGCCCGGCAGGACCCGAGCGCCACCCCTACCCCAACTCCCCAGCAGGAGGAGAGGAGTCAGAGCAGGGAGGGAGTGGGAGCCCAGGACTGCTAAATACCCAGCCCTAGTCATCCCCACCAGGAGCATAGACACACAGTGTGTGGTGTGCTGGATACTAGGGAAACAGAACAGTAAAACCTACGAGCAGGTTCTCACAGCCAGCGTCCCTGAGACAAAAGAAAAGTGAGTGCTTTTTGAAAGTCTTAAAGGGACAGAAGCCTCACAGCTGGATGGAAGTGTCCCAGCACACTCAGCCCAGCACCTGGGAATTGCAGGGAACTCTGGGTGCCCTAACTCCCTGGGCGGCAGTGCAGCTCTGAGGCCTCTCACAGCGACAAAGAGCCTCCCTACCGTTCCCCCTCCAGCATGGCCCCACCATAGCAGAGAGCAGCCTGAGACCTGCCAAGCCCACAGCAGCCACACGGAGCTTCTTCCACAGTGGCCCAGGCAAGAATCAGAGACCCTGTCTGTGCGCAGCTGCCCAGCACAAGCCACTAGGGGTCGCTGTTCTCACAGGAGAGGAAGGTGAGGAGCAAGTGGGAAGGGACTTTGTTCTCCCAGCTGACACACGCAACAACTGCCCACAACTACCTCTATTGACATGAAAAGGCAGAAGAATTTGATCCAGACCAGAATTACACAGACATCCTTCCCTGAGAGGGAACCTGGGGAGATAGACTTAACCAATCTTCCTGAAAAAGAATTCAAAATAAAGGTCATAACCATGCTGATGGACTTACAGAGAAATATGCAAGAGCTAAGGAGGGAGAATACAGAAATAAAACAGTCTCTATACAGAAATAAAAGAACCCTCCTACACTGCTGGTGGGAATGTAAATTAGTTCAACCATTGTGGAAAGCAGTATGGAAGTTCCTCAAAAAACTCAAAATAGAAATACCATTTGAACCAGGAATTCCACTTCTAGGAATTTACCCTAAGAATGCAGAAGCCCAGTTTGAAAAAGACAGATGCACCCCTATGTTTATCGCAGCACTATTTACAATAGCCAAGAAATGGAAGCAACCTAAGTGTCCATCAGTAGATGAATGGATAAAGAAGAGGTGGTACATATACACAATGGAATGTTATTCAGCCATAAGAAGAAAACAAATCCTACCATTTGCAACAGCATGGATGGAGCTAGAGGGCATTATGCTCAGTGAAATAAGCCAGGTGGAGAAGAAGTATCGAATGATTTCACTCATATGTGGAGTATAAGAACAAAGAAAAACTGAAGGAACAAAACAGCAGCAGACTCACAGAACCCAAGAATGGACTAACAGTTACCAAAGGGAAAGGGACTGGGGAGGATGGGTAGGAAGGGAGGGAGAAGGGGAAGAAGAAGAAAGGGGGCCTTATGATTAGCATGTATAATGTTGGGGGGGTACGGGGCGGGCTGTGCAACACAGAGAAGACAAGTAGTGATTTTACAGCATCTTACTATGCTGATGGACAGTGACTAATGGGGTATGTGGGGGGGACTTGGTGAAGGGGGGAGTCTAGTAAATACAATGTTCCTCATGTAATTGCAGATTAATGATACCAAAAAAAAATTTTTAATTTAAAAAATAAATTATGTATAGCCTTTCATGTGTCATCTAGTGTAAGCCCCATACATCATTACTTATATGGTATTCTGCTAAAAATGTACCAGTTCAATGAAATCATTAGGAATCACTCAAACAAGAGCAAATTGAGAGCTGTTCCATAGAACAACTAGACTCCACTCTTCAAAACTATGGTCATCATGAAAGACAAAGTAAGGCTAAAGAAGTATTCCAGAGTACCTCTCAGTACTAAAATCCCCCTCAGTAGTACATGATACACCTAAATGCCGTATGTGATCCTGGCTCAAGGGAAAAAATTACTCTAATTGATATTTTTAGAATAATTGATAAAATCTGAACAGTGACTGAATAGTAGATGATGTATCAGTATTAAATTTCCAAAATTTGATAATTCCCTTGGGGTTATATAAGAGGATGAGTATCCTTGTTTTTAGGAGACCAATGCTAAAGTATTTAGGGGCAAAGGGTTAAGATGTTTATTCTCAAATGGTTTGGCAAAAAATGTTTCAACTTCCAGTATAAATCCTTGAAATGTAAAGCATAGCACAGTGACTACAGTTAATGCATATTGTATATTTGACAGTTGCTAAGAGAAGAGATCTTAAAAGTCATCATCACAAGAAAGAAAAATTTTGTAAACTGTGTGGTGGGTGATGGATGTTAATTCCATTTATTGTGGTGATCTTTTCACACTACATGCAATTATCAAATTATGGTGTACACCTGAAACAAATACAGTGTTAAATGTGAATCATACGTCAATCTTAAAAATTTAATTTTAAAAAATGTTTTTAATTATAATATGCAAACACGCAGAGTTCAAACAAATGTAAAAATCTGCTGAATCTAGGTGAAGGACTATAAGCACTTATATGGCACTATTTTTACAAGTTTTCTGTAGGTTTGAAAATTTTCAAAAAAACATTTGGTTAAAAATAAATTGTTCTGTGCAATAGAAGTATATTGTATATGAATTTCAATAAGATTTCATGGAAAGCATCAAATAATACTTAAATTTGTAATTATTCAAAGAGTATACCTAGAAAGCTTAAGCTTTGTTAGCTGCACATCCATTCTATCAATTACTGGAGGGTGTAAGTAGTCTTCACCGGCCACCAGACTGAACTGATTCTGAATTCTGATTAACCCAAGATCTACCACCACTGCATTGGTAGAAATGGAAGACTGCGGGATGACTATAACTGGTGCTTTCAAATGAACATTGACAGAAGCACGAAAACTCCTCTGGGCAAGATCTTTCACACTTGTGGCAGCCTTTTCTGCAGCCTGGGCAGTGGCAGCACTCAGAGCCTCTTTGGCTGTCTGGAAATTGTTCAGAAAGTTCTGTGGGCACAAGATACAAAAGGAGAAATTTAAACAGAGGACAAGCACATCAGCAACACCATCTTCTTTTTATTCATGTGCTAATTTTTTCCAATAGGTAACTTTCAGTTCAGTCCCATTTTTCCAGTTAGGAAAGAACTACTAATATCCATCCAGATTTGTGAGCTGTCTGATAAGGGCTAAGTATTATGGCTGAGGAACAGAAAGAAAATAAATTTTAATATTTTTTGTAGTTGAGAACTGGTTTCTATATTCTAGCAAAAATAATTCCAGTTCTAGGCAAAATCATTAAATGATCTGGATTTCAACTGTTAATGAAAGGTTCTAACCTCTACATTAATACATAAATACTATCTATAATCAAAACAATACACAACCCAAAATCCAAAGTTTGTAAGATTTTCAATCATAATTGTTAAGACTTAAATATTTCTAAATTTAAAAATCAATATATAAATAGTGATTTTTTACCAGAAGTGACATAAGGAATTTATGAAGATAGACAATCTGAATACAGCCAACGTTCAGTGATACCACACCATCCACTTTGGACATGTCAGTATAGGAATCCCCCTCAGTAGCATCTGGATACAAATCCAAGTTAAAGCGAAAAACTTCATTTCCCATTATTGACATAGCCTGAAAAGCAGAGATTTGAATGTACTCCATCCAAGAGGATAACGGCAAAATAAGTCCCTAGTCATTATAGAAACATTTTTCTATCAAAGTTTATTTAATATTTTTTAAAATAAAATATATTTAAAAATAAAATCATATGTTCAGTCATCAAAAAATATAAGCTATCTATTTTACTATCACCTACTTTTTTATGAACTGTCTTAGGATCAACATCTGTGACAACAATATTTTCCAGTCTGGCAAATAGTGACTGTTTTCTTGACTGAAGAGAAAGAGAAGAATCAAGGCCTGAAAAATAATTATATGATTATAATTCCTACAGAGCTACCACAGTAAGATCTTGAAATATTTCCATTGCGTAGTTTTATTTTGGAGGTGATATTTTAAAAAAATTAACAATGTTTGAATTCCCAGTTGATAAGCTGTGATATTAGACATTTTTATTTTATAAACAATGAAATCTACTAATTCATTTTAAAATAATTATCTGAATTTCCAAACTTCTGAGATAGATAACATACTAGTACAAACAGGTTTTCTTCTGATTTTAGTAAATCCTTTATGCCAGTCATTTACGTGGAAGCTGTAAGTTTTATGAACCAAATTCAGCCTAGTAGATGCAATGCCAGCAAAAAAAAAAAAACACCTAGCTTTCTGGTTTTTACATTCCTCAAAAATTTTATTGAACATATTCTTTATCTTTACCTGATTACAATGAGCTGGTAAAAACATAGAGAAAAGGCTATATTAGTTTTAGCAGCTTTTGCCTAAAAGAACGTAATAGGCTCGTAGGTTTTGATCTTCATTATAAGGTTGGTTTACATTTGTACCAAAATAAAGCCTATACATACAATTTAATCTAAACTCTAGATTGACTTATCCCAGCCCATCAATGGCATTCCCACACTGACTTTAGTACCCCTTTTCACCTCTGAGACAATTTTCAGAAAGACCGGAAGCATCAATATGTATGGTTCAATCTGATGGTCAAATTCTGACCAACGTCTACATCCCAAAGAATTAAGAAAGCATAAGTCCAATTATGTCATAAAATAAAAGAACATCTAGTTTTCACAGCTCAGAGCCCTCCATTTGTATATTCTTCAACACTGAAAAAAATGCTTATCTTTAAAAAAATTTTAATACTTTTACCTTGAATCTTGATTTCAGCAATATTGTTCTTTTCATCGCAAACAATGACACAGAAAGCATTCAACTTGGCAAACAGTCTGAAGTCAATAATGTCACTATTTTTAGAAGATACGATCACTAAAAATAAAACAAAGCCTTCTATCACAGTGGAATTCTAGTTAGCTAAACTCTACTAAAAGTTTCTTCCCTAGATTAAGTGAGCTACAGCTCACTTCTCAAGTTCTGAAAGATTCCAGATAACCTTTTTTTGTTTTACATATTCTGCAGAGTTTGGATTTTTCATAGTGAGATGTATCACTTTTATAATTTAAAACTAAAAGAAATTTTAAATAAGGTAATGACACTGAAACTCACAGAAGTTAAATATGTGCCTACAGTCACACACAGTTTGCATAGCAGGGTCAGAATATGAAAGACACCTCGTCTCTGGGTGTTGATTTCCTTATTTGTGGAATGGAAGGGAAGACTAACCCTCTAGGGAGCCCCTCAGGAGCCCCTGAGAGGGGAGGAAAACTCAGTGTTAATACAGACCTTCTCCTATTGCACACCTCCTACTCCCCACCACCACCAAAATAAGAACAAGAATAGACATTAAAAAAAATAACAGTATTAATTACATTTGCCTTCTGTATCAGGTACCCACACACAATTTAGTTTGCAGAAAAGAATGAAACTAGGGAAAATAGCATGCAAATGACCGAACTAGGTGATCTGCAGGATTTCCCCTCTTACTTCTAGAATTCTAAAACCCTGCATAACAAAAAACAAGAAACATGTTTTTTATACCTTTCTGCAGAGCTGAATTTTTTTGTTGCTTTTCAGTTGAAATTTGTACTTCTTTGGTATTACCCATGTTTTGACCATCTGATGGAACGATAGCTGTCAGGTAATTAATAGAAGAGAGAAGAGCTTGTGTTTGCAGCAGTAGATTTAAAGATGAAAAAGCCACCTAGAAATGTTTAAAAAAGAAAATGAGTTTCTAAGGCCAATTATACTAGTAGGTTCCATGATGGACCCAAAAGGCTCCTAGCTAGTCTTATATCACTGCCTTCCACAGTTTGAAAGGAAGAGAGAAATCAAGATTCACATCCTATAATCTTGAATTAGCCCTTAAACACGGACTATAGGGAGGATAATTTACATTTACACACTTCAGGGATTGAAAGTGACCTTATTACTCCATTTCCCAAGCATAGTTATCATAGAGCCTATAATCTGCTTCTCATTGCCATCCCAGTATTCAACACATAATATGGTTTTTTTATCTTCAAGGGACTGTTTATTATGATTATATAAAATTAATGTTAAAACATGAAATTTCAGAATTACCATGTGTTACTACTGTCTCAAGAAATAATTTGAAATGTGATATTTATGAGATTTAAATGTAAAAAGTAAAATTAACAAGAGAGTTCTCAGTCACTAAATGATCTACAACTGCAATGGTCCTATCATTTTAAAAGAAACAAAGAATACATAACCTATAGAAAAAAGTCATTACATTTTTTAAAACAATGACTGCAGAAAGCTAAAAACACAAAATGCATTCAAAATGTTTTTTTCTAATAGTAACCAAATATTTCTTTAATCTTTAACAGAAAATTTTTTCATTGCCTCAAAACACTAAGTGGATATAAATTACAAAAAGAAAGGTTCTCAATATTCAACAGATTCCCCATCTCTCAAAAGTGTAATCTAAAATCCCCCCCCCTCCCTTTCTTCTTAATGTAACCCAGACCACATTTTGCCTCTTCTTCCTCCGCATGACTATCTTAGTATGGCTCCAGAAGTGCTCAACATCTTTCCTTGTATTTCTCATACTGTCTCAGCCCTGCATTAAACAGTAGTATCTAGTTTCATCTGTTTAGACATCAAAGTTCTCTCATCTACAGCATTCCATTCTTGAGAAATAAATATGATAAGCTACAGTAAGTCAAAACCAGATTTACTATGGTGGGACATAAACATAGAGCATGGCAGGTATCTATGAGTTTAATTTATAGCTTTTATTGGTTTTTGATTATTTCATCAAATACCCCAGTCAATATTCTTCAAAGGATACTGATTTCCAGAGCAGGTTATTTTCAAATAGGAAATATTCTTTAAATTAAATTTCTTACCTTAACTGTCTGTTCAGTTTTTTCAAATGTAGTTTGAAAACTAGGTCCATTCTTATCAGCCTAAAAAGAAGAATAAGAGTTCAAATAAGAAATTAAGACCAAGGCAAATAAATCACTTACTTATGGTCTCCAGTTTATTTATACTTGGTTAGAACTGTACTTTTATATGTTAGATATTTAATTTTATTGTCATTTTTATAAAATTACACCCAAATTATTTATTTTAGTGGTGCAAATTTGTTTTTTCCTCCTCAAATATGGGAAAGCATGGCAACATTCAGTTCTAGAATGGCAGGTAGAGATCAGAATCATAAACTCTGAAGACCACAAAGTTTAAAGATCATCTAACACAACCATCACTTAATTCTTAAATCCATTTATATCTTTAGCAAGTCTATTTTAGAATATTTCCAATGAAATAAACTTCATTTTCTTAAAAACTCAGTTGTCAGAGAACATTGATTTATTGAGGTCTTACTACTGCATCAAAAATCTCATCTCCCATAATAATTACCCATTGGTTCAAGTTTTGTCCCTTGGGTACATAGTAAATTCATTTTTGCCTCTTGAGGGAAGCCTTCTGGCTAGACTAGTTTCTCTGACTCCCTGATTTCACAATGTTTTGTGCTCTTTTTTATTAGGGAATCAATCACATTGTATTTTAATTGTTGTTTATTGTCCATCTTCCTACTAATCTGTAATTTCCTTAAAAATAGGCAATGTTTTTTCATTTCTGTATCCCAAGTGCCCAACAGAACCTGACACATAAAAGCATTCCATAAACAGTCATCAAATAATTAAACCAACTAATAATCTTAAATGAGGATAAATACCATCAGTTCCTTCAGTGTTTCTTTTATATTTCTGAGTCCTTCCCAATCCTGGTACTTCTCTAAACCCAATCCAAAAAGACTCTATGCCTTTTGATATGATACTCAGCCAAATGTCACCTACATATACAATGAATGTAGGTAGGTGAAAATAGCAGTAGGTCCTACTTCATCCCAGGCTTCCATCTTTGGGGACAGAAAACTTAGTGGCTTTGTAATAGTCCTAGTCCTGTACTGAAGTGAAAAAGAAAGTGTACAAATGGAAAGAGAAACCGTAGATATCCCTATGATACACATCCAGAGCCTTTACTAATGTACAGTCATGTTTTTCCTTCTAGAGGATAGAGTGTACAATGTACAATACATAAACATCCTATGGCCCTTACCTTAATATACTCTACTTTCAAGAGATCTAATCCAGGTTTGTCAGAAGAGCTAATTAAATGAAGGGGCTTCTTTTTGGATCCTAAATTAAAGAAAAAATTTAAAAAGTGTTAAAAATATCACCCCTTTTTAAGTTTGGAATTTTCTAGATGTCTTTTCTTTTTTAAAACTTTTGTTAATCTTCAAAAGACTATCTGCAATAAAGACAAATACCAAATGATTTCCCTCATTTGTGGAGTATAACAATGAAGCAAAACTGAAGGAACAAAACAGCAGCAGACTCGGAGACTCCAAGAAGGAACTAGTGGTTACCAAAGGGGAGGGCGGAGAGGGCAGGTGGGGAGGGAGAGAGAAGGGAATTGGGGGGTATTATGATTGGCACATATGGTGTGGGGGAGGTCAAGAGGAAGACAGTGTAGCACAGAGAAGACAAGTCGTGACTCTGCAATTTTACTACACTGATGGACAGTGACAGCAATGGAGTATGGTGGGGGAGACTCGATAATATGGGTGAATGTAGTAACCATATTGTTTTTCTTGTGAAACCTTCATAAGAGTGTATATCAATGAAACCTTGATAATAAAAAAAAGACTATCTGCACATATTTTCATAGTTATTAAATACCAAGGTCATCACTGGTGAAGAAATAAACCAATCTAAATTATCTGTGACTTAAATTTACTTTAAAACTTAAACTCAACTTACTTAAAAAGAGGCATATTTATTTTCATTCAATTTTACATCTGTGTTCAAAAATAATCAAAACCTCTATAGATATTAAGACCATAGTTGTATTTGTAGCCCAGTTGAAAGACAATGGTGGAAGAACTGAGAAATATGAATTCTAGTTCACCTCTACCCTCACTAAAAGCTATTTAACTTCAGCCTTCTCAACTATACAGTAAGGAGGACTGACTAGAAAAATATGTAATATCTCTTTGAGCTATACAATTCTATGAACAAATATTTCAGCCATACTGAATAAATTTAAATAACTATCCTTTGTTTAGATTAGGAGAGAAAGCTTACATAGAAGAGGAAAGAATTTTTTAAGGATGAGAAACTGTTAAACTATTTAAAAACAACAGGTACTACCAGATGTCCTTTATAACCTTACGTAGACAAAAAAAGGAACTGCATCAAGAAGGTATGGAGGGAGAGTGGTCTATCTACCATTTAACCCATCTTTTATTATTTGTACTTCCATAACCCCTACTTCTGAGTCATCAAAATTTGCCTTTGACCTTCAGGGTTATAACCTTCCCTAATGGAAAAAAATGGCCTGACAAATTTATTATTTATATTTCTTTTCCTCAAGACAGTAATGTAAACTCCATTTTAACACAGTGTTCATAGAAACTTACTAACATGTAAAACATGTTTCTCCTAAACTGAAGTTTATTTTAGTTTCAAATATTTAAAAAACAAACATACATCATTATATGTAACTCAAATATTAGACAAATATTAGGTAGTTTTAATTACTATAGATTGACACCCATTCCTTCATTCTTCAAAAATCTAATGAGTACTCAAGATATACAGTGAAATCAATAAACAATAAGAGCTTCTAAAGAATGAATTTCATGTCCCCCCATTTTTATTTATATAACCTGGTGCTGCTTCTAGAATATGAACACTATTCAACAGAAAAAACAAGGATTTTAATATTATAAACCTGAGGTAAGTTCAGGTTTTGTCATTTGTTAAGATGCATGGTATTGTGTAAGTCACTTAATCTCTCTTTATTTACCCTTTCTTTATTTGTAAAATGGGAATAATACTCCTTATATAAAGGGTGTGTGTGTGTGTGTGTGTGTGTGTGTGTGTGTGTGTGTGTGTGTGTGTGTGTGTGTGTGTGTGTATAGGGAGGTAGCAGATCATAGTAAAGAATACAGACCCTAGGGCTAGACCTACAGGGTTTTAACTCATGGTTCAGCTACTAACCAGCAATGTGGTATTGGGTAAATTATATAATCGATTTATATCTTATGTAAATTAGAGATAAACATCACGCACATCACAGCATTGTTACAAGGATTAAATGAGTTATTTTTAAAATGCTTAAATACTGCCATTACTTACTGTAAATATTATACAAATGAAAGTGTTTCAGAAACTCAAAGTAACACTGTATTTACTATTGACTATTTTTTCTATGTTTATGGCTATTATTACCTTGAATTTCATGGTAATCCAAGCTGATTTTCTTTAAATAAGATACTGCGGTTAATTCAAATGTTTTCACAGTAGCCTCTGTTCCTAACTGAGTAACATTAAAAACTAAAATTGTATCTTCTTCTTTATGTTGTTTTGTAAATTCCAAGATCACCTAAGAGAATCAGGACAGCCAATGAAAAGTTGATAGTTTGAATTACACTTAAAAAACAAAATCTTCCTTCATACATAACATGAACATAGTAGAAACTTTGCCCATAGTTCTCTATTATAAAGTTACTATGATTAGAATTACCATCTGAAATTCAGTATACTAAATCTACATAAAAAATCATGATGAACATTTTTGAACAGAGACTCACATAGAAGGAAGATGGGGTGTAAAAGACGTAGGGAGGAGATAGGATTAAAGATAGCGACATGAAAGGTGAGACAGAGGCTTCCTCCTAAAACCGCATATAATATGAAAATATAATTAATACAACTAATCCTTCAAGAGCAACAGGAAAGAGGACTGTGCCAGACTGCATACACCTGGAGAAAACAGCAGACCTCACAGAACAGGGTAACGTACCAAAGCTGTGGCCCGGCGGGACCCAAGCCCTTCCCCCACCCAGCTCACCAGTGGGAGGAAGAGAAACAGAGCAGGGAGGGAGTGGAAGGCCTGGGACTGCTGAATACCTAACTATGGAGATCTGCCCTGGGAGCACAAACCTACATTTCATGGTGCTTGCATGATACTCTTGTGATCAGGGGGTTGGAAAGCTAAGATAGGCAGAATTCCTGGAGAGACTGAGATTCCAGCAGCTTGTGGAAAGCAGGGATCCAAATCCAGCTGCTCTGGGACAAAAGAAAGGTGGGCAGTCTGAGAGACTTCCTAACAAGGAAACCCTTACCAAGAGGGCTGCTAAATGGGCAAGGATTGCACAGAGCTTACTGCTCAGGAGAAATGGCAGGTAAGACAAAATTGCCAGGGTGAACTCTGCCCAGCAGGTTGAGAGCTTTCACAATCTTCAGGTGCTCCAGCTCCCTGGCTGCCTACACAGCTCCAAGGACCTCCTCCATGATATGCAGCCTACTGTGCCTTTCTCCTGGACAACCTGGCTCCACCTGGCTCGCAAACCAGCAAACCCTACCCTGGCATGAAGCCAGCCAGAGGGAAGATCTACCTACAAACAGAGCACAGAGGCTTATACCTGTGTGCTCGGCCCACTGATTCAGGCAGTGGAAACAGGCACAGCAGCCAAGAAGCAGGAAACAGCTCTTTCCTGCGCCCAGGCACCAATACTACTGCCCTGTAACCCCGAAAATTGCTTTAGGGGCAGAGCAGCTCCAGAGAGTAGAGCTTCTAGGCACTACAGGACACCATATACAAATATGAAACACCAAAGGAACCTGGTTCAGAGTAAAATTATTAATACAACTCCTGTGAAAGGTTTAAATGACATCAACCTCATGAATCTTCCTGAAAGAGTGTTCAAAATAAAAATCATTAACATGCTCATGGAGGTACGGAAAGATATTCAAGAACTCAGGAATGAATTCAAGTCAGAGATCCAATCATTGAAGAGGATGATGGAGGGCATAAAAATCAGATTGGATACAGTGGAGGAGCCGATAAATGAAATAGAAACTAGAGAAGAAGAATACAAAGAAGCTGAGGCACAGAGAGAAAAAAGGATCTCTAAGAATGAAAGAATATTGAGAGAACTGTGTGACTAATCCAAACAGAATAATATTTGCATTATAGGGGTACCAGAAGAAGAAGAGAGAGAATAAGAGAAAGTGTCTTTGAGGAATTAGTTGCTGAAAACTTCCCCAGTCTGGGGAAGGAGATAGTCTCTCAGGCAATGGAGGTACACATATCTCCCAAAACAAGGGACCCAAGAAAGACAACAGCAAGACATATTGTAATTCAAATGGCAAATATCAAGGATAAGCACAGATGATTAAAAGCAGCCAGAGAGAGAAGTAAGGTCACATACAAAGGAAAGCCCATAAGGCTATCATCAGATTTCTCAACAGAAACCTTATAGGCCAGAAGGGAGTGGCATGATGTATTTAATCCAATGAAGCAGAAGGGCCTGGAACCAAATCTACTTTATCCGGCAAAGTTATCATTTAAATTTGAAGGAGGGATTAAACAATTTCCAGATAAGCAAAGGCTGAAAGAATTTACCTCCCACAAACCATCTCTACAGTGTATTTTGGAGGGACTGCTATAGATGGAAGTGTGCCTAAGGTTTAATAGCTGTCACCAGAGGTAATAAAACCACAGTAAACAAAGTAGAACAGCTAATTACTAAGCAAATGCAAAATTAAATTAACTATCCCCAAAGTCTATCAAGGGATAGACAAAAAGTACAGAATATAATACCTAATATATAAAGAATGGGGGAGGAAGAAAAAGGAGGAGAAAAAGAAAAGAAACTTTACATTGCGTTTGTAATAGCATATTAAGTGAGTTAAGTTAGACTCTTAGATAGTAAGGAAGTTAACCTTGAACCTTTGGTAACCATGAATCTAAAGCCTGCAATGGCAATAAGTACAAATCTATCAATAATCACCCAAAATGTAAATGGACTGAATGCACCAATCAAAAGACATAGAGTCACTCAATGGACAAAAAACAAGACCCATCTACATGATGCCTACAAGAGACTCACTTTAAACTCAAGGACATACACAGACTAAAATTGAAGGGATGGAAAAAAATATTTCATGCAATTAATAGAGAGAAAAAAGCAGGAGTTACAGTACTTGTATCAGACAAAATGGAGTTCAAAACAAAGAAAGTCACAAGAGACAAAGAAGGACATTACATAATGATACAGGGGTCAATCCAACAAGAAGATATAAGTATCTACACACCCAACACAGGAGCAACTACATATGTGAAACAAATACTAACTGAATTAAATGGGGAAATAGAGTGCAATGCATTCATTCTAGGGGATTTCAACACTCGACTCACCTGGTAGGACAGATCAACCAGGCAGAAAATAAGTAAGGAGACAGAGACACTGAAGAACACATTAGAACAGATGGACCTAACAGACATCTACAGAACTCTACACCCAAAAGCAGCAGAATACACATTCTTCTCCAGTGCACATGGAACATTTTCAAGAATAGATCATATACTATGCCACAAAATGAGCCTCAGTAAATTCAAAAAATTGAAATTGTACCAACCAGTTTCTCAGACCACAAAGGTATGAAACTAGAAATAAATTATGCAAAGAAAATAAAAAATCCCACAAACACATGGAGGTTTAATAACATGCTCCTAAATAACCAATGGATCAATGACAAAATAAAAACAGAGATCAAGCAACATATGGAGACAAATGACAACAATAATTCAACACTGCAAAATCTGTGGGACACAACCAAGGCTGTGCTAAGAGGAAAGTATATTGCAATACAGGCCTACCTCAGGAAAGAAGAACAATCCCATATGAATAGTCTGAATTCACAATTAATGAAACTAGATAAAGAAGAACAAATGAAGCCCAAAGTCAGTAGAAGGAGGGACATAATAAAGATTAGAGCATAAATAAATAAAATTGAGTATAAAACAATAGAAGGAATCAATGAAAGTAAGAGCTGGTTCTTCAAGATAACAAACAAAATAGATAAATTCCTAGCCAGACTTTTCAAGATAAAAAGAGAGTCTACTCACATAAATAGAATCAGAAATGAGAAAGGAAAAATCACTACAGACACCACAGAAATACAAAGAATTATTAGAGAATACTATGAAACATTATATGCCAACAAACTGGATAACCTAGAAGAAATGGACAACTTTCTAGAAAAATACAACCTTCCAAGGCTGACCCAGAAAGAAACAGAAAATCTGAACAGACCAATTACCAGCAATGAAATTGAACTAGTAATCAAAAACCTACCTAAGAACAAAACCCCTGGACCAGATGGCTTCACTGCTGAATTTTATCAAACATTAGTGAATACCAAATACTCAACCTCCTTAAAGTTTTCCAAAGAGCAGAAGAAGAGGGAATACTTCCAAACTCATACTATGAGGCCAGAATGACTCTAATACCAAAACCAGGCAAAGACACCACAAAAAAAGAAAATTACAGACCAATATCCCTGATGAACATACATGCAAAAATCCTCAAGAAAATATTAGCAAAACGAATTCAAAAATACATCAAAAAAGATCATCCATCATGATCAGTAGGATTTATTCCAGGGATGCAAGGAATAGTACAACTTTCAAAAATCCATCAACATCATCCACCACATCAACAAAAAAGAAGGTCAAAAACCACATAATCATGTCCATAGATGCTGAAAAAGTATTTGACCAAATTCAACATCCATTCATGATTAAAAACTCTCAACAAAATGGGTATAGAGGGCAAGTACCTCAACATAATAAAGGCCATATATGAAAACATTATACTTAACAGTGAGAAGCAGAAAGCTTTTCCTTTAAGATCAGGAACAAGACAAGGATGCCCACTCTCCCCACTTCTATTTAACACAGTACTAGAGGTTCTAGCCATTGCAATCAGACAACACAAAGAAATAAAAGGCATCCAGATTGACAAGGAAGAAGTTAAACTGTCCCTGTTTGCAGATGACATGATATTATACATAAAAAACCCTAAAGAATCCACTCCAAAACTACTAGATCTAATATCTGAATTCAGCAAAGTTGCAGGATTCAACATTGATACACAGAAATCTGTGGCATTCCTATACACTAATAATGAACTAGCAGAGAGAAAAATCAGGAAAACAATTCCATTTGCAGTTGCATCAAAAAGAATAAAATACCTAGGAATAAACCTAACCAAGGAGGTGAAAGACTTATACTCTGGAAACTACAAGACACCCATGAGAGAAATTAAAGAAGATACCAACAAATGGAAATACATCTCATGCTCATGGATAGGAAGAATTAATATTGTCAAAATGGCCATCCTGCCTAAAGCCATCTACAGATTCAATGCAATTCCTATCAAAATACCAACAGCATTCTTCAATGAACTAGAGAAAATCAGTCGAAAATTCATATGGAACCATGAAAGACCCCAAATAGCCAAAGCAATCCTGAGAAGGAAGAATAAAGCTTGGGGGATTATGCTCCTCAACCTCAAGCTCTACTACAAAGCCACA